TAGATACAAAGCTTTTGTATAGTGGAACTTGGCAACGGGCTGGCAGTCCGTGGGCGATTTTCTTCACATTTATCTTTCGAGTGATTGGGAGGTAGGTTATGTCTCGACCAGAAGTCCACCATCCGTGATTTTACATGCTTAATGTTTACTTACATATTTTACTGCTTCCTCACCATTATGTGACCAAGCGTATCCTCTTTCGCTGAAGTGCCCAATTTAAGATTTACCTGATCGTTTACGGAAACACTCGTCCATCACTATTCATCTAGCCATCCTGGGTTAAGGTGTTGGACCAACTTATAAAATAGGCTCTACGTAATGGCTACACTACTTGGTAATCTGTGCAAGTTGCCAGTTAAAACAGTCTTGAGGCTCTTATGTATCTTAAAATTAAGGCTACCAAATAAATGACGACTTCTTGTACTACTGATCGGTGTGCAAATCATTCATTTCATAACGAGGAAAAAGTTAAATGGTTCTGTTCTGCTTCTTTACTGACTCTATGACGGCACCACCATCAAATTCTCCCTTAAGTTTGGCTACTAGACTTCCTTTGCAAGGTACAGATCAGATTCTTTGATTTAAATTGTGTGCATTAAAGTAGCCCATATTATAGCAAAACATGAGTGACGTGGAAATTTTTTTCTAAGCTGCTAACAATATGCCATTAGCTCTTAATAGATGTCCCTGGTTGGCTCCAATGCCACCGCTTCTAGTCCACCTTGTCGGCCGTAATAATCGCAGCTCACACTTGTTTATTATGCCAAGACTGACCGCGCGTTAATTAAACTGCTGTTTCGTTCTCATGACGACATCTGTCCGACTTTGGTACTTTAAATTCGCTTTCAAATGTAGCTTTTTTGTATAAGCAGGCATACTTCAAGCGTCGAGCCTCCGTTTACTCAATTTAAAACTGAGTTAAGGTAGGCATATTCCGCCCTCAGAAGAGCAATAGTCGACGGCAATCCATTCCATTCGATACAAATGAACCAGGGAACATCTCCCAGTTTATGGTATAGTCAAAAGAGAAAGCGACATGACCAGAAGAGATGGAAACTATCTAAACTCATTTACTAACCTCTTGTATTCTCGATAAAACGTTTCAGCAATTTCTCGAAGATCCTTGGTTCCCAATAGAGTGTTGTCTGGGCCACGCTCCGGATCAATAACAAGGAAGCGAGGATCACGCAGATTCAAAGGAAAACTCCAAGACCTGTAGGAATTTGGCATTGCTGACATGCAGTCCTCCACGGAGGACGGAGTGATGGTTTCACTGAGACGTCCTGGACGCATGTTAAGTGAGTACTGTTTCGACTGAAGGCGAATTACCAGATGTTAAGAATCGAAATTT